CAAAAAAATATACGTATTTTGGAAATGTTGAGTCGAATTAGTCTAGAATCGATTAATTTTATGAAAGAAAACCTTTCAAACAGCCGTAGTCCGTAAACTATGATTCCTACAAAATTGATTCATAAAGAACGGAACGTATCTACCGTCTTATAGGGGGATCTACTGTATATATATTTTTTTAATAATTTAATTTATTTGCTACATTATTTTGAATATAACACATTTTTCTAAATTTAAATTGTTATATTTTAAAATTATTTTAAGCCATATTTATGTCTAACTAACCTTCATTTTTCCCTAAAATTCCCTTTTCTAAAGATGAGGGTGCGCCTTAAATTCGAAGCATACGATGTATCCTTTACTAAGAATAAGTGATGCATCATAAAGAACTTCGTATGACTCATCTATCGTGTGAAATATTTAACATTCTCTAATAAATTTTTATGGAATTTTATTATATTATAGTAATCCTATAGGAATATAGGATAAGTATGATATAAGAAATGACAGTCTACTTGAAAACTAAGATAACAAATCTTATATTTTATGAGAGAGAAAAAAAAAGAAAACAAAAATGTTTATGAATGGAGGTAAAGCTTATAAAAATCTGCATGTTTCGCTTACATTCTGGTAATAACAGTAAGTTATTTCTCTATAAATCCTGAAAGAAACGATCGATAATAGTAAAATTCTTTCTCTATTTACTTACGCTTGGTTAATCGATAAGAAAATATTATATTTAAATGGATTGTAAATTTGTTTTCCTATTATCTACTGTAAATTTATTATCATTCAAAATTTAATTTCTTTGATTTAAAAATTGTTAAGAAGATGCTCGTAAATTATGTTTTTTTTTTTTCTTTTCATTAGTTAAATTCTAGTAAATAATAGCTAAAGAAGTAAAGGATTTAAACAAAATTAATTACATATTAATGGAAAATCTTTTTTATCACTTATTAAAAGAAACTTTATACTATTTTTGATATCGTTTTTTATGCATGAAAGTCTAAGTTTTGAGGACTTCTCTAATGGAAGAGAGTAAAATTAAAGGTAAAATGGAAAAGGGTCGAGTAGAAGAGGGTCAAATAAACAAGGGTCAAATGAAGCAAGCTGAAATGAAGGAGGATCAAATAAAACAAGGTCTAATCGAGAAGATGCAAATAGAGGAGGGTCAAATGGGGAAGGGTGAAATGAAGGGTCAAATGGAAAAGAATTAAATGGAGAAAGATCAAATGAAGGAGCAAATAGAAGAGAGTCTTTCTGATCTCCTCCAGTATTTGCTTAATTCATACTATTGATATTTAATAGATTTTAATTATTATATTAGTCAATACTAGTTGAAGAAATAAAGATGTAAATTTTGTATCGTTCTCTGTTTATATTTTCAACCATTATCATACAATAATAACCTGTGTAGTTTGAAGATTTATTTCATATATCGTCTTATGCTTTTATAAGCTATTTTATTTGATTTAATACTGTTTAAATATCCCGTTTGTATTAATTTTCTCACCATTATCCCTCTTCTCCGAAGATAGTCGCTTCATCTGGTTTATGTTATGTACTCGATATTTCTTATATTAAGTTATTCTCTTGTTTTTTAATATTATTTATCTACTTAAAAAGTTTTTATAATTTAATTAAACAACATTTTATCTGAAAGTTCATAAACAATGCATTAGAATCACTACACAGAATGTCGAATTAAGTGATAACTGCAACAGCACAACAGAAACTTTTTTATTTATTATTACACTTGAAAAAAATCTTCTGTGTATTTCATTATTTTAAAAGAAGCAATAATTATACAGAAGAAATTTACTTAAAGAAAATAAATAAATTCTCTATTCATTCCTCAAACTAGATAAAGTATTCCATGCTTGGCTGAGAGGGAGAAGAATGAAGAATGAACAATAAACGAGAAGAAATCGTACAATCTTTTATTCAGAAACTGCATGGCTCTTTTATACGAACATAACAGAAAAATAGATATGGATCCTTGTTTGCTTTTATAACGTAATTTTGTATACAGCTGACCTAAAAAAAAAGTCAAATTTAAACTTTAAAATAAAAAAAAAACAATAAATTCAGCAGAAGTATCGAAGAAAAAACTATTTCTTCAGCTCCGATATGAAATTTTTATTGTGTTGAATATTTATAAACGTATATAATACCGCATTGCTTCGAATCTAAAATGAATTTCCAAACCGAAATAAGGGATGCTTCTTAAATTTGATTATTGTATTGGATAAAGCAAAGCAACACGACGACGATCTACCAAGGGGGTTTGCCTCTCGAGAGGATTTTCTATAGAAAAACTGCCTATTGATGTATTAGACACGTGAAGAAAACCCGTTAAACTCCACGTGACTAGCTCTTAGTCAGGTGCGAACCCACGTGTAGTGGTTTCATCCACTCGCCTATTGATAGTCTTCTTAGATTTAAAGCTGTACAACTGGAAATATTCGCCATTGTTCGAAAGCTCGTGTCTAGTATTATATTTATAATAAAGAAAATACTACATTATTAACATTTCTAACTGTTAATAAATTAATTTAAAATATATTCGTTATTAATTATCACACAGTTTTTCTTAAAATTCCTTTCTAAATAAAGATTCAAACATAATTACTGCAGAAAACTAGGAATGTTTATTAGAAAATTTAACTTAAATTGGTTTATTTATTTATTTTTTCCTTCCTAAACTAGTATAATTAATTTGTCCAAACAATAAACAAATTTATATGTTTTTATCTTAGATATTTTCTCTGTACATAGAGCAGTGTAAAATAAATAAATTATAGCTTAGGGCCTCGGGTTAAGGAGGGTATCGTTTTATTTTCAAAGACCTTATATATATATATATTGGGCGTTATTATTTTATGAAGGAGGAAAGACCTCTTCGTTATTGTAACCTAGGACAACAAGTCTGAATCGGTTTTGTATGTAACAATAGAAAATTATAATTTAATCTATGCTTTGTTATATGAATCGATTTTATGTTATTTATAATTAATTTACTCTATGAGGAAATAAAGAATTTATTTATTCATCGTATAATAATTTATTAATAATTCTTTCAAGTAATTTTAATCAATTAAAAATTGTATAATTATTTTTAAAATATTCTAGTTATATATTTAATTTAAGTTCAATTAATTAAATTATTTAGAGAGTGAAATAATCCAAACTTATAACTCTTATTAAATTAAATTTGTTTTCTAGAGATATTTTCTCAGTTATAGGCGGAAGTTTTTGCCATTTTTTAGACCCGTAGACACGCGCAAATGTAATCTTATCTTGGTATACTACTCGAAATCTAGAACTAGTTACCTACCAACAAGCTGACCATGTGGAGTTTTTCGGATTTTATTCACGTGTTTAACAGTTTAATAGGTGTTAGACACGTGAAGAAAATGGAGATGCCACGTGTCTAACACCTAAATCACGTGTCACCTTCCATTGGCAGATCGCACGTGTTGTGTCGCTTTATTCTCTCGTACAATGTGAAAGATGGTGTGATAACGGATTTTATACCAAAGTTTCCAAACTTTTTGGACTAATACCCCGTTTTAGTGAATATATTTCATATATATATAGCTTTTTTTAAATGAATTCTTCTCCTCCTTGTCTTTCAACCCCCAACAACCCCTTGTCTTCCAGTACTCCCTTGAGTCTTCTGCCACTCTCAAGGGGCATCCAGAATGGGAATCACTGCCTTATATAAGGCCTGGCAAGTCTATTCTTTTACAGATTCTTGCACAACCTAACGTGATTTTTTTCTTTTAATTCAAGATATTCTTATTACTTTTTTCTTACTTTAATTTTGAAGGACATCTAAAATAGATGCTAATGAATCATTCTAGTCTCGTAAAGAAAGTGAAATGATATCGTGCTATTTTAAAACGAAATTTATGAATTTACACTAAGAAGAAGTAATCTGAAGATATATCCATTCGATGTTTATGCAGACGTTATGCAAGCGAAAGATAAGAATTTTCTTTTTCAACTGATGCAGATAATAAAATATCAGATATTTAATTAAACATTCCTCTGACATTATTTTATATTTTAATGAATTAAATGGAGTTATTCGGTTCCAAAAAATATATCATTATAATAATCTTAAAGTCACTTGTTTGCGGAGTCTCTATACAGAGTGAGGTAAATATGTCTTGCAAAAGAAATAAATTATTCAAAATGTATAAATACAATTTAACTCAAATCAAATACAATTAATTAAGTAGTAAATAGACTATAAAATACATTTTTTAAAATGTTTGCTTTCAGATATAATCAAATTCTGCAGGCGTTCATAAAATTGGTCAGTGAAGTTCCTTTCATTTGGAAGGAGACACATAAACTTTATCTTTAGTTGCCCCCATATTGCAAAATCTAGGGATTTAAATGGAAACTATAGGGACGATTAGATCCCTATAGACCCAATTTTAATCCATAGATTTTGCAATGTGGAGTTTCAGTTTTTTCTGATTCATCCTGAGCAATCAATGTAGAACCAAATACTTGTTTGAGGTCATTATACACTTGTTCACTGCCAACTATCCCTCTATCAAACTCTCAAACGCAAGTTTTTTCTAACAAACTGTTAAAAATTTACAATATTTTTTCTTTCGGGAACATTACATATTATCAACCTTGTATTTTCCTCATTTTTCTGAAGAATAAAAAGAAAAACAACGTGTTGAAGTTTGAAGTAATGGTCGCTCATAGAGGACACGTGTTAAGAGGTCTTTGGTCTTGGAGATTCGTTATACATCCTTCATTATAGATTCAAAATTTATCAGGTTTTAGAAGTGATTTATTTATATAGTTCGAGCGTTTTTATAATCCATGTTGCATCTTCATGAATTCGAAGAAGTAGGCTATTCTCTTGTTTTGATAAGGAATGAAGTGGATGCGTTTGATATTTTGTTTTAAGCAATGAAAAGGATATTATTTTAAATTTAATATTGTTAAATAAAACTTTCACGTGTTGCTTATTGTTTATAATTGCTATATCGTTAAAAATTTAATGCATAGATGCAATGGAATTTCATAACTAGTACTTAAAGTATACAATTGTATTGAAGATCAAAGTCAATACTTAAATTTATCTCGAGTGAAATAAAGAACGAGGTGTATATAGATTAGATTGGATTGATGGGATAAGATAACGGAATATATGGGCAAATAATGAACAATACACATATATATACAGTGGATTCTCAATAATTCGAACTCAGAGGCATGGCCTTAAACAGTTCGAATTAGAAGGAGATCATTCCTGGACGCTACAGAACAAAAGGAAAGAAAGAAAAAGAATTTAACAACATATGGAAAAAAGAATATTTAATCAATGGTTTGCACATGGGCGATCTGCCGAGATGGGTGCTTCCTGGAAGGCCTTTCTGTTTAGGGCCCCTATTTAGGAATTATAAACGTAAAGAAAACCGGGAAACTACGTGGCCACCCCTTTGGCGAGGCGTGAATCCACCAGTTTTTAACGGTTTTATCTACTCGGCCATTGATGGGCTCTTCTACATAAGCATGCACTAGAAAAACGAGAAATAGATTGAATACTTATGCTATATATTCCTCATTGAAAAAAATAAAGCTTCAAAAATATATATATTTAAATGTATTTAATAAATATATGCAATTTATCCTTCATTTTATAAATTTTCTAGGTGTTTCTAGATTACTTGTACATATATCGCGCATTATTTGATGTTTAAAAGTTATTGATTCAAAGTTAATTACCCGATACTTTGGGATTTCTAATTATAAATGATAAAGCAAGTATAATTATCATTAATTATTAAACTTTGTGATTCTATATTGTAATTACAATCTATAATAACTGCTCTATATAAACAAGATAAACCGCTAATACTGTATATATTACAAGCTTGGAAAATGCTAAATGAAATAGAATTAATGATATTACAACCATCGGTGGTCCTCTGCCAAATATTAAAGATATTTTACATAAAAAATTAAAAAGAAATCTCAAAATTGGTTGGAAACTCGTTTCTTAAGCATAATTTGTTAAGAAACACAAATAATTTGCATATCTCCGCCCACTTTATTTTCTAACCAATAATCATTAACAATGTTTTAAATCTGTATATCTTATATGTTTAGCAGAGGACTGCCTATGTTTATTATAATATTTAATATTGTTT